CTCTCTCTCTCTCTCTCTCTCTCTCTCGTAATAGTATACATAACTTTACAATATATTGCTGTATAACTCACTATACCAGTCACTATATCATAGGCTCAACTAAATATACATGTTAAATATCTGTATAAATTTATCTATAATTTGTGGACATATGGTTTTTCTCGTGAGATATTTCACTCCAATTGTCGTTCAATTCCAATGTTTTCAATTAAATATAGTTAAAAATAAATAAAATATAAATACAATGGAACTCAATTATTTATACTTTCACACACAAAGTATTATTCTTACAATCATAGCCTTAAGTTAGAAATGAGATTTGTTAAGTTAAATTAAGTTCAATAACTGTTTATAGTACAGTTGATGTTTTAGAAATGACCATGGTCATAAAGTATACCAATGTGTTGCAGCACTTTTTAAAGATATTATTAAATAAACCTGTTTGTAATGTATAGGCATATGTAATAAACAATATGGTACAACAGTGTACAAAATAAGTATTATAACGTTTATAAAGTTTGCATTAAGAAAACTTACGACCAAATGTGGACAAATAGATGATATATAAGAGTATAAAGTAGTGATGAGAATGAAGAGACATTACAGACAAATAATAGTGATAATAATGATGAACCAAATGAGTTAATACTGTCTACTGTCTACTCATTAGAACCACTCCCAAAATAGACAGTATTAGAAGCCATGAACTTTTCTTACTGTAAAACTTGGACCAAACCAACACTCACTTCAATGTCTCAATGCGGACAAACTCTCATTCACACGCATTTCCCTCTCACAAGTCTCTTACTTGAGAGGCACAACAGCATAGCTTTAAGTCTATTGGATATCATGTATTCAACAATTTCTCTATAAGGAGTTATAGGAGTGGGTAAACCTTGCATACAATCGCTTCAATCAACACAAATCCGGAGATATATGTTTCACAAATGATACACTTTAATAGATATAATCAAAATACAATTAGTTTATAACAATTTCATTTAATTTCCAGTTCCGATTGCCAGCGATTCAAATCTTTCAAATCTATAAAATAGTTTTGTAAACTTGGCTTAATTCATGTCAATTTAGTAATTGTAGGCAATCTTAATATTGTATACTTACTCAGCCATTAGAGTCTTGTGCTCTTCCATTGCAATCCAAAGATTTTTAGTCGACTCTTTCAAACTTTCAAGTCTGTAATCATTCAAATCAATCATTTCACACATTTTTGCTTCAATGAATGCTTCAATATACTGTATTATATATAATTCAATACTTACTCTTGTGCCACTTCTGGAGGTAATTGCGATAGTATATGGTCTCCCAAATTAACTCGTTGATACATTTGTTGGGCGGGATATACTACATCTCTTTCGGGTTCACAATTCAATTTATTGACAATTGTTTGCCAAATCTTTCTTTGATTTTCTTTTGCCTAACAATACAATTAGTGAATCAAAACCATTCAAATAAATATCTCAAATGAAATTACATTTTTGACACAGTTTTCAAGTTTATCACAATCAGTCATAAATGTGGTCGAAATTAGATTCAATAAACACTCCGATTGAACGATGGTTACCTGAGCGCCCCTATAGCCAACACAACACACATTTCCATTTAAATCATATATTTTATGTTCAAAATTCAAATCATCATAAGTTATGTATAACTAATGTCAAAACTGGATCTTATGGACCCCCGATCTTCATTACATTTGTCTGTTTGAACATCAAATCAAATCAAATGCCAATTAAGCTAATATTTTTGTTTGTCATTTATGTAGTAATAGCAAGAGATGGTCATTAATTTCTATTAACATTGCATATATACTCACGAATACCAATCTTCTAATTTCTCAGCAATCACTGTAATCGCAGGATTGGATTCTTTAATTAGCAAATCACTCAATTTCTTGCAGTTAGTATCCAATTTGATTCTAGATTATCATTATGTCATTATTAATATTAAACTCATGGATATATAACCATAGAATGGACTCACTTTTCCAACTGATGTAACTGTTCTTCATTGAAAGACAAGTTCAGAGCTATAATTAAAAATAATAATCATTTCCAATTATCATCATTAGTATGATTAGCACTCGACTCATACCTCGAGACTGTTTGTCTTTATGTAATGTCTGCCAACTCTCGCGAATTTTATTACAATAATATTTAGCCTTTGATTGTGCGCTGAGTATACTTGTGTTGGAGTTTTGCGATTCCTTAATCCAGATTTCTCTTAAATTACTCGCTTTTAGAGCCATATCTGATGAAAGACCGCTCCAATCTTGGATTAGCTGAAATGACATCATTATGTAATTACGTTACTTTTATTCAACTATCAAGTTGTCAATCGTTTAGTTAATACTTTGTCGTATAAACGAAGGGGTTCTTCATCGACAATAAAGTCTATGCCAATGGAAAGGCTTGAAATCAATCGATTTAAGTAACGATTCCTTTTCAATATAAATATAATAAATATAAAATATAAATATAATTAATTAATGTTTTTATAAACAATGATTTGAACATTGAATTGAATACATTTCTGTCAAATGGTCCAATTTCTGCTGCAATGAGCTAAGTATGTGTTCACATGTGCGTTGCTTTTGGGTTAAGAGTTTGACATTGTCTTCGATTAAGGACCTATACGTAAGAATTAATCAATTTAATAAACATCCCAAATATACTATTCAAATATTAAGGTATATTTACATGACATAAGAAGGCGTGTCATTTGCTAACCGATGGCTAAGAACAGACTTTTCAATATTCCTTTGAACGGAATAAGCCATCGAAGCGCACACTTTAGCCAATTGGGCGTCTGTTTCACAATTAGTCGACGTATTTATCAATTCTGGAAACTTGATAGCAGTTAATGTGAAAGTTGCTCTAATTTTAGTCGTTTCCTTATTTAATAAAATAATAGGAGAGTCAACAGAGGTGTGTATATCTGCTACTAATGTCTCATCAGAAACCAATTGTTTGTCTAAAATCAAAAGCTGGCTATTCATAGACAATTTAATTGTATTTTCAATCCGATTCTTCACATCATTAATCCTAATAAAAATTAATTTACGGTATAATTAATATTAGTTGATATTTGTAATTAGTTTAATACTTTTCAATGGGATGACAATAGAGAACAATTTGCGACATATTGTTTACAAAAAATATATTAATTGTTTTGTGAGACAATATGTTTGTTACGCTTTTGAAGAATTTGTCAAATGACCACATTTTGTTCTCATCACACTCTAAAAGTCCTGCTAATAGTTGGGTAACCAATGGCTGAAGTGAACTAAAGTATATGCCGTAATAAGCAATCAATACAAGTGATACGTTTGTAAATGTTATTAAATGCTATACTTAGAGATTAAACATGATTTGGGAAGAGTTCGACTCCATTCGATGTCTCCATTCTCAGTGTTTTGAACGCCTGATATAATACCCGATGCTTTTCCGGTTGTTATTTTATACCTTCATGATTAGAAATGTTAATATTAATACATAACATACATAACATCCTTTGGCAATGGACAATAAGACAATGAGACAATACATGGTGTCTTTGTTTTTCCTGCCGCCAAAAGGTCTGAAGGGAAGAACACCGGTCGCGATGTGATACAGAGTGACTCCTATACTCCAGAGGTCAACATTGGCTTTGAATGATTTACCCGCACATTTGCGAAGCACTGCTCTTTCATACATATCCGGGTGCTATCATAGTGTCATATAGTGGCGTACATTATGTTATAACATGTCATATTGATTACAAAATATGCATTTGTCTAATACTGTACCAAATATTCCTCTGTTCCGTACAAAGACATGAATTGTTGGTCTTCTTCGAGTTCTCGCGCGGCCCCGAAATCGGTTAACTTATAAATAGAAGTTTGGTCTTCGGTTACAAATTTCATTATATTTCCCGGTTTTAAGTCCCTATGAATTATATTCATATCTCTCAAGTGTTTCATTCCGGCAGCTATTTGTCGATTCATAGGAATAACAATTCAATAATTAATAAATGGCTAAAAGAGCTCATAAAGAGCTCATTGTTTGCAATTCAACAAAACCTAAATGTTTGAGAACTAATAGGAATTCTCTCTCTTCGAGTCCGTAATAATTGATGGGATCGTCGAGTATATTGAAAAGACTGCCTCCGGTGCACAACTCCATGACCAACACCTTATGGCGGCTCTCATTCTCTTCCTCGATGGCCAGAAGTCTGACGATATTCTTGTGACTCACTTTCTTAAGCACTTCAAACTCGCGCTTTTGCACCTCATATGGTCTCATATGACTCAAGTGGTTGAACGCCTTCACTGCCACCGACTCACCACTCACTTTGTGAAGACCTAAACAATCACATCAATGGATCAGTTAGTTATGACACGCTATACATGGTGTATATGGTGTACATACCAGCAAAGACAGCACCGGTGGCCCCCTTTCCCAGCACTGAATTCGTATTCCACATATAGTTATGAGAACTCCTTAACAAAGACATCACTATATCATCTGTTAATGGCATCAATACATCAACACTTGATTGTTGCCAAACATCACATTCACACCAATCATGCAATCAATGGTTGCAATACTTGAATGTTTGCAAACAAATGAGCGCTAAGTTTGTAAGCATCACTTGAATACACTCTACAGTGACTGACAGTGACTGACAGTGACTGACAGTGACTGACAGTGACTGACAGTGACTGACACTGACTGTACTGTAGTTGTGAGTCACTTGTGACCAGTTGTTCACTATTAAAATATTAAAATTAATTGTCCAAAAACCTTCAATTTTCACCCAATTCAAAACTACTGTAAACTTTGAATTTTGACCACATTCATTTAACACTCGTCGACCTAACTCCCCCTCCATCAAATTGAGGGATGTGTTAAAAAATGATACAGTAATCGATCGATGCTATGAACAGATTGGGTTCGGGAATTTGCTTCATAGCATCGATCATAGTTTAACATTAAGTTAATGAAAATTGGGTTTGAGGTTTAGTTCATAACATCGATCGCGGACTGTAAAGTCAACCTCAAATTCTAAGTGTACTTGCAAATATATTATTATCTCAAATTTTGCATTAAAAATTTCAATTTTTTATTTTAGTAATTTAATTATTTTTGTAATCGCAATTAAAATTAATGTGAGTGCAGTGAAGCAATTATGTTACTTGTAATAAAAAAAATGTATACCATTATCACGACATCTCTTATTTTTTAAATAATTTTTTCTAATTAAATCAGAATTTGAAAATTTTTTCAGAATTATATTCCTCTCATCCATACCTTTCTATCTACATGTATATATAATATGATATACTTATTCATGAATTAAAAGATTTAATTTTCAAAATTTCACCGATTAAAGTGATCACTACGGCCAGACCCGAGGGAGTTTGGACATATGAAGTTTGGACACACTCGACTACTTATTAAATGTACTTTCATTTTATAACAATAATTCCCAATTGCCCGCTATCACATCAATGGGCATACACATTTACGGTTACATATTAATTGTTGTGTTCCAGTTCAATAACAACATAATTTACAAAGTTTCCCGGTTATCACAGTTTTATTTCTAATTTTCTAACAAATTTGAATGTTTAATTCTTGGAAAATCGATGTTCTAATAAGTTTTTAATTAAATTCATTTTAATAAAAGTTGTTTTTAGTTGTTTGAAATTTAACAGTCTTCACTAGTTTTAGAGTCGACTGTAATTTTTGACTCACCTTGGTAAATTTGACTTTTAATCAATCAAGATCTGTAAAATTATTCATCAGCCAATACTCATTAGTAGTACAAAAATTAATTGTAATATGACTCTCAATTGGCCTGGAAGTTACTTCCAGCGCCAAATATCATGGATTAATACGTGTTGACAACACTATGTAATGTAAACGTAACAGTATTGTGTTTAAAGATGTAACGTAACGTTGTATATGAACGTCACGTTGTATATGAACGGTACATACTTTGTAAATCAATAGTGATT